TGAAAGTAGCCCGACTGGGAAATCTCTTCTTACAAGCTCATCATGTTGTACAAATTGAAATTTTTGTTCAATTTTAGTCCCACCTACGCTCATGAATTTGTAAGTAGGCAATTTTGATCCACGAAATAATGGAAGACGTTAGTAACAAAAATTTATTTCACAGAGCATAGCATTCGAGATAAAGTTAAATAAAGATAGCTCCGTCCTTGAGATCTTTATGCCTATGAAAAAAAAAAGACAAGAAATTTTAGGTATTTATGAGATATTAAGAGTTCAACAACTACTTTTGTTTCTTGATGAACATGGTACTATAATTTTTTTTTAATTAAATAATATTTTGACTTTCATATTCTTAGTCTAAGTTTACATATTGTGTTTAAGCCATGAAGCCAATTAATTTTCGTACAATATATATCGCAATATTAATAAAGATGAATCAATGTCGCATTATTATATAATGCTATAAGGACATAACTAAGTATAACGAACTGCGAGAGCAATAGGTTCCCTGATGAACCTCACTGACAAGTTTCAACTACTTTCAATGGTCACGTATTTCCGTTCTCACTAGGGACAAACTTACTGATAACTAGACAATTGTGGACTCTATTGTTATAATGGGCTTCATAGAAGTTTTTCAGAAATGTTGTGTATATAGTATATTATATTTGAAAAGAATACTTACAACAACTGACACAATTTTCTGTTCTTATGAATATACGAGGTATATTTCCCTCATAGATATACTCGGGCTTGGCCGGATTCTACCTGTACTTCGTAGTTATATTTCTTGAACTCTTTAAAAGAATATTTTATTTCAAAGCAAAGAGAATATTTTTCTAAAATAGTGTTTAAAAACCTTTTTAGCTAGTATTGAAAAATAAACATCTGGGGAAAAATAATATTAAATATTAGTATAACAAACATAAAAGCACTTGGATTTTTATGGATATTTCATTTTATAATCACATTCTGTCTGTGTTGATCTCACTAAATTAAGTCAATATAAAATATTGCATGTTTGGCCGCGACCCCTGCACCGTTGGATGCGCAGACGCAGCGCATTGCGATGCGTAGAGTGAGATGAAAGCTGGCGCCGACCACTTATCGACTCCTGCACTCGTTCCGATTATGCGCTCGCTGTCAACACCCGAAATAGACGTAAACAAAAACACCGTGAAGTTATCCAAAATAAATGACGACTGTTATATAACGCGAAAGAAAACATACGTATACTAAGTGATAATAATCAATTCACACTCTCCATAACTTTAAATAATATTCCAAGAATAAAAAATATAACTTACTCCGAGAGCTGAGAAAGTATAGTTACAAAATGTCAATACATTTTAACCACCAAAACTTGAGAAACTGTATACCATAAAGACCCGTTCATAACGATGAAATCTAAAGAATTAAAAGGATATAATGACTGACTCAAATATTATAATGATTAGTGTTTTAGTTTGTGTATAGCAGGTTAATATCGCTAAAGACACAGCTATTGATTTGACTACATTTATACTATATACTTACCAAAATATAATTTTGACACAAGAGAACAAGTACTAGTATTTTATGTCATATAATAAAATCGTGTATAAATATCTAATAGTTAAGTAATTGACATGACAGAAACTACGAATCACATAGTAGTATATTGAACAGATGTTATGAGATTTCCTATACTCAAAACTACTTACTCACGGAAACACAACAAAGAAAAATGGACCAGGTGCAGACTACATCCGTTTCTTCAAACAAAAAAAAACAAATGCACAGAAAGAAGTTTGGTACTTATCGTAAGCCGAGTCCCATTTTGAACAAGGCCAACATAAAGTTATGATTTACTAGCTGATCCGGAAAATATTGTTTTGCCATATAAATTAATCGGTTCTCGACCGCCGAGTAGCAAGTAAAGTAAGTTAAAGTACTAATATCGCTAACAAAAATAGGGGTTGTACATTAGGGTTTTATATATTTTTGAATCATAAAAATTTTAAAAACAATATTATCCAGAAATTAATAAAAAATTGTGGTGAACCACCTGAAATTTCAACACAATCGGTCAAGCCGTTTCCGAGGATTTTTGTTACTGTGATACGAGAATTTTATATATCAGAATAAAGCGGTATCAAATGAACTATTATTTAATTTTAAAATTATTACCTGTTTAGTTTCTTAATATACAAGAATTATGTCTATAAATAGTTTAGTCTAAAATAATATTTTTCTATGAATAATTTTGCATAGTTAACAAATAGCTATAAAAAGATTTTAACGCATTAATTTATTAAATACCCACTAAGATGTAAAAAAAAGTTCCAATTTTGTATATAAAATGTCATGATATATAATCTACAAATTCTATTATTTGTTCTATAGTGATTTATTATAATCTTTTTATTGTCTAAAGCCAATCAAAAACAAGTATGGCTACAAGTAAAATATTATAAATGGGAAAGTTTTATGACATGCTATAGAGGCTGTCAGTCGAGATGCGACATAGCGAATTCAATAACCGTAGATTGATGAGGGTACAGTGAAGCTGAATTTTTGTTACAAATTTTTTATTTTTCACAGACAAAACTTTTAGATTTATCATATTCTCTTTGTATAAGGTTCCGCTGCAGAACGTTTGAGAAACTTTTCAATGTCGTTTTCATTCAATAAAAATCACTTAAAACTTTACAAAAGATAATATTAAATTATAAATAGGTCTTACGTCCCATATTAAAAATCGAATATTCAAATTGCTTGAATTTGAATATTCTATTTATCCAACCATGTTACTATATACGAAGGAACATAGAATAGTAAGGAATTTTAAGGTCTTATAACAACATGAACAGTAGTGGGTTGAAAATTTAGGTACTTAAATTAAAGCGTTCATCGCATTGGTCGCCGAAATGATTGCGGTTCTCCTACCTGCATCGAACACCTGTCGCCAGCTGCCATAAATAAACCTGAGAATTTGCCTCTTTGGACGGTACCGATAGATAATTAAGAAATGTTATATTTCAAAGTGTATACTTTTAAATTATACTCATTTTCTGTTAATGATTGTTCAATATTTTATATTATTTTGAGCTATAGCTGCCGAGATAGATATTTTCACGTGCTTTATAAATCTACAGAGGCATTATAGATTACATTGTAGATAATTATAGCTATACTCCAAATGGAATATTTATCCCCTTCGCTTTCATATTTATTATATTGTATTTCGTATTATATATAGATATAGTTAACCGTCCGAATTCTGTAGTCGAATGCATACGGACAGATGTACCATATAACAATGGTACAACTTTGAACAATATAACATCTATAGGTACCCTGAGCTATATTTTTGAAGAGCATTTTGGTACTTTATTACGATATTGTTACTTATCATCCCGGGTATTAGAATGATATTCGTGTCTCTTATTTTTAATTCTAAAGATGAAAGTATACCGGCGCTGTTTGAACCTTTGATGTTAATTTTTATCTGATTATTAATTGTAACTTTATTTCTGTACTTATTGCACATAAAAAAAATTACAATTAGGAATCAGATATAAACTAATATCGACATTTAAGATAACCGCAATTGCTTTTACAAAATGAGATTGAAGCACGCGATAAAATTGCTCTTTTTCTGCGGACCGTCCCATTTGTTCTTAGGAGCACCGGGACGAGGGTCTTTTGGCAGTCTTATAACTTATTTTTCACAAGCCATGATAAATAGAGCGGCATGACAATATTACGGCGGTAAATTTTAGTGAAGAGGAGTAATAACGGACTAGGGCGTAGTTTACTACGTTTGCTCGCATTTTAGATTAATATGCGCATTTTGTACATTTTACAACATAAGTTGGTAATCTTTATTTTGATTTAGCAGCACATGATTCATAATGCATCTCTCTAGGTAGGTATCTGCTTATTATAGGTATAATATACATATATGTAGTACAAATGAAGAATATTAAATATTTCGGAGGTCCCAGCCAATAGATAGCTGCCACAAAAATACCAATAGGTATTTTTAATATTTTTTTTAATATTAATAATAATTTATTTGTATATACCATCAAAATTGCAACATTTAAAACGAACAATATGTAGATACCTATTGAAGTTAATTCTAGGTAATCAAATGACAGAAAGTTGCATAATACAATATGCGAACCATGATAACTTAAACTAGATATTACACCTGTGCTATAGGTATCTGTTTGATAGATATAAGTCGAGTATAATTAATGAATCTAACTATAAAATATGGATACCATTAATAATAAACCTTCATCAGTGTATAGTTTGATGCAGTCGTTAGTCTCATAAACTAGCGTGAACTGTATATTAGGACTCAGTTTCTTCTTTTCTTAGTAATCTTATTAATATTATATTATTATAAATACGAAAGTTTGTGAGTATGAATGGATGTTTGTTACTCTTTCACGCAAGAAATACTGCACGGATTTTAATGAAACTTTACAATCAGAATAAAACATAGGCTATAAAATTTCACGCGTGTGAATCCCCGGACACAACTAATAGGTATACCAAAATACGAAAGGGAAATAATATATTGAGCACAGAATTAAACATTCGTTAATTTATAAACACTCTTGATTGGACGGCGCATTACGATGATTGTGGATCACCTAAAACAACTATTTTCTGTTGTTTAGTAGGGTCAATATGATGAAGAGGTAATTATTTTCATAAAATATCTGCTCTGAAGTTTATTATCTAATTAGAGAATAGACTTCGGAGCTAGGTAAAATTAAGTATTGGAGAAAGTAGTGATAGAATAAATTGATGGAGAAGGTTGAATCGTAAGCTTTATTTTGGTAAAGGAATGTTATTAGTAGGTGAAAAATCAAATCACAATAATTAAACACGATAGTGTCCCGGAGGATCTCATGGAAATCGACACGATCGAGTCACAATTAAAGTTGCTAGTTATAGATTGGATAGTATGATAAAAGCAAATATATTAAAAATTACCTTACCTGTTAACAGTAGCAAAATAAGACGCCGCATGTTTGTATCCTTGTGAATGTTTTCAAAGATTTAAACGGGAGCTGTGTGCGGTGTCATCTCAAGTCCTACACCAAAACTACTAAATGCAATGTTTACGCGTCTCAGCTGATGCTGCCGATTGTATTCGCCAATTAAGCATACACTCGCGCACTGCGGGATCCACCGCACGCTGCAGTGTCAACGGCCACGAGCTTACGAGAAAACTTGACACTCAGCGAAAGCTGTCCTTCGGCTTTAAAACCGCGATTACAGTGGTATTCCAGGGTGTTACTCATTAATGTCGAAAGAGGTCGTGTGCGGAGAATAGTTGACAATTCCGCTCTGTGATGAAAACATCACACATGGCACGATCGAGGACGAAAGCTCTGTCACGAGCGATCACAGCGCACGGCGGCCGACTCGCGAGTTGCGCGTGTGGGCCGGCTAGCGGAGGCGAGGGCGAGCGGAGGCGGCGGGGACCGGCACGCCTGCGCACCGCTCCCGCACCGCGCCACCTCCACCAGTATTGACCGACGACGCCTCCTTCCTACATTTCACATCCTTAACTAGGTACCACCGACTCTCCTTTGAAAAATCCCCTAATTCCTTCCGTAAGATTGAGATAGGCCACGTCTACGGACCATGAAAACGCACCTGGATATTTAAGAGGCACGTTTTTATATAAAATATTAGATCGTCACATATACACGCAGTTGACGAAATATAATAAAATAATGCATCATCTCATAAACAAGCGTCTTGCCTAAGTAAATAGGCATAATATATATATATACGGTTATAAAAGTAGATATAGTAATTCCAACAACAGAAAAACCCTAAGTCTACATAAGTAGGTCAAACTTAATTGTCCTGTAAACCCATGACCTATTTAAGTAGACGTTAGATGAAAATGCCTATTAGATATTACCTTCATTACTACTATACCAGATTGGGTAATAAGAGGCATTCTGAATTGCCGACGTCATTGTCAACGCAAATCTTAACATAGGTACCCACATTTCGCTGGGTCTTTATATTGATGCGCGTAACGCCGCGGCCGTCTCGGATTAATTTGGTTTATTATTCCATTTACGTTTCGTTTCATTATATCACCCATCAAATTATAAAATGACAATTATTTAAGTTTCCAGATTTGATCGAATTCGCTCATTGAGATCTAGGTAGTAAACCGCTCTATATAAATTTATTAGAAGATTTTTATCGCAAAAATCGTGTGCGTGGGTCTGCGTCTAATTATTTCAGTTGCCAAGCAGCTTGCTTTGTAAGCTGTGTTCCGATTGAAGGATGAGATAGAGCAGTGTAATTAGGATAGATGGTACCTACTTTCACTGCTCTATCTCATCCTTCAACCTTAAGTGTAAATTAGTATACATACACCTAGAGGATAAATGGCATGACATTCTGGAGAACTAAGATCCTCCAGAATGGTAACGCAGCTTATCGTGATGTTCATAGTACTAATGTGTATACCACCCCAGGTGGACCCTCAGCTGGTTTGCAGCTGGTATTTAAAAAATAATCTACACAGATTGTGCCTATATGAAGAAACCTACCTAAAACTATTTCGAATAATACCTAAACAAAAGCGTCCCAAGATCGATGCTGAAAAATACATACAACCCTAAATTTTCACCTTTCTAGCATCAACCCCTATTTTTAATAGCGATTTTAATGTATATAGCAAAACAAAGTTTGCCGGGATAGCTAGTTATATATAGAATACAATGGTTAGGTAGCCCTAATTTTTAAATGGAATGGAATATTTCTCCTACGCTATCACTGACAACCTATCAACAAATTCGCCAGGAATTAATCACTGTAATTGCTATTGGGCGCGCGTAGAAGTGTATCTACTGACGTGATAATTGCCATTGTCAACGAAATAAGTGACAATTAATAAAATTATTCATCCCTTTAGGAATGTCATGGTAAGTATAATACGTTAAATGATGATGACTACTCATAGTACTTTTCTTCAGATCGATTTGTTTGGCTACATAAGTACTTACTTCTATATAGAAAATTAAACCTCAATTCCTTATCAATTTCATACTAATTTCATATAGATTTAAAGAAAATATAACGTTATCTTATAGTTAGCCATCTATAAGAAACCGCAAAGTATGCGGAAAGCATTCCTTCCACTAAATATGCATTATTTGTTAAACATAATTTAGTGTTTACAACAGCAATATATTCTCATTTTGAATAAACAGATTAAGTGTTTAACCGCAAAACTACCAAACAATAAACTCTGTAAACCGGCTGCTTTTCTAAGTTCAGGCAAAATTAAAAGCAGATTATTTGCAATGGCTCCATCTAGCAGATTTATTAAGCACTCTAAAACACAGTCAAAGTGCAGGAAAAAGGAAAGCAGTTGTATTAGCACTATGAAAACTAAACGCCTCATTGTAGATTATAAAAGTTTTCGTTTACAAATATTATAAAATACTTACGTATACGTAGATCGATACTGACTGAATTATTGTAACTGTAAGTGTACTGCATTCGAGGTTACAAAGAAGTGGGCCGACAATACCTCGTGTATGGTTATGATCCCGAAATTATTTATATAATAAAATAATTATAATTATTTATCTTATATCGAAAGTAGTGTAAATAATATCTCACCACAATTGAATCCTCAATGTGCATTGTGTTTTTTAATGGATGACCCAAACCAATACCATAATTAAGCCACCGTGGCAATCTTTAAATACCTATAGTATGAATAAAAAACGTTTTATGGTTGATTTATATATTTTTAACATATTGACTACATATTGACTGTACTATTTATTCTATACTACTATATAACAATATTAAGGTATACTATGTCGCGTTTACACCAATTCTCTCCAATTTTTCTCTTGTCCAAGCTTGTATGAGTTGTCTTCTTATTTCAAAAGCAATAACAGCTGTGGCCATTCCTGTGTTAAGACTGTCGACACCCCGTTGCAGGGGAATGTTCACTCTTAAACCATTCTTTTTTGCTGCGAATCTAAATAGACATTAAACGTATGTATATTATGTTTTAATTTACATCACAGTAAGAGAACATATCTGTATGTTTCAGTTGAGAGAAATTGTTTGAAATGCAAAATAATATGTACTCCAATTCAAATAAATCCCTATAATTACTCAATTATTCATTGTCTAGTGTTAGTTTTGTCACTTGCAAAGGATGGACCTTTGGAAGTGTACATCCCACTTTAAATCTTTACATCCTAGTCAGAAAAGCCCCAAATAAATAAAATTGCAAGGGTAGAAAACTCTGAATATACATTTTTTTTATTAATTGAAGGTATATATCATATTACAAACTATATTAACAATTTCTAGAATCAATTTGGCGAATATTAACATATTGTCGTCCTATAGACGCAGACAAAAGTCTAGCACTGTTTCAAAAAATTATCTTTATGCAAAAATAGAAATATTAATTTTAAATAACTTACATATAACTGTCGTTACTAATTCCTTCAGTTTCCCCACCTATTATTAACGTAATATGTTTTAAAGATGTATATTCAATACCATAATATGGCAACACAGGTATACTCATGCCAACACAGCCTTCATCCATAGAGTCCATTGAATTGTCATGCAAAACCTTTTCATTACTATCAGCAATAAGAACTGAGGTATCTTGCTGTAAATGTTGTGGAATATCTGCCCATTCTACAGAATTGTATACAGGTAGCCTAAAGTGAGCTCCTGCGGCACTTCTTACAACTTTCGGGTCCCAGAGGTCAACACAACCTATAAAAAACCATACATTATTATACAACCAACAGAGTATGAAAATTATAAATAAATATTTCTGTAACACTCACACAGCATCATTAGTCTCATATTATCTCAGACTTATTTTGCACATTAAGACAGACATCATCAAAACTTGTACTATACTAATTATATAATCAACTATATTTTATTAAATTATTATTTTAATTTGTTATATATGCTTAAACAGATATATATTGAATTCACAATTGAAATTCACCCATTTCAATCCCATTGGAAAATAAAATAGTTGAAAAACCTCCAGAGCAACGATGACTTTGTGAAGGTTTCATTAATAATTCAAGACTAAGGAGATATTTCTTGTAGAAGTACATATATGTGTACTTCTTCAACTACTGTGACATGCCTACCATCTATAAATGTAAATAGATGTGTGGGTGTGTGTTCCACTATTTGCCAGCCACAACCAATATCTGTAGAATAACATAAATGCAAACACTTACCCTTTGTCAATACAACCTTTTCACATCCAGCACCTACAGCCACCCTTAATATAGCACCTAAGTTCCCTGGCACTCGTATATTGTCACAAATAAACTGAAGAGGTAAAGGTCTAGATAAACTTCGTACATTGTCTGGTGATGGTATTTCAAATACACCTGAAATTTATATCATGTTTAAGATGAAATATATATAATATTTAAGTTTACCTGAATGAATTAATTTTAATTTTGGTTTTAGTAAAACAAACATATAATCAAGACTGTTATCACAAATGGGGTACTCAGGTAGCATTATCAACTATGACACAACATTTTTGGGCTACTAACTACTAGGGCACAACATTTTCAAGAATAAATTAATACATCTTAAGGGGAGAAATCAGTTTAGACTGATAAAAAATAGATTTTTTTATTGCATAAATTGTTAGTATAGCTAGTATGTGGTCAAAATTTTAAAGCAAAATTCGCATTATTCCCAATGTTATGAGGACTTAAGTGACCGCCCGTCGGTCCGGAGTGGAAGCGTACAGTAGTTAGAACGGAGCGTTCACTCAGGGGCCCTTTTTCGTTTACCTGCCTCAAGAGGAGATGCAAGCCCGAAATGACGCGTAACAACTAGAAGAGGGATGGTGCTAAAATAGCTGATTAACCGGTGAGAATTTTATATAATTAATTACTGCCTCGAAACACGTTTTCGCTACTTTTTATTTCAAACGCGTTTTCCTCGAAAGGACTTCTTTTTAACTTATGGGCATTCTAGCTTGAAAAGTTATTGATTGTATGGTTATTAAAAATATATTTTTTTATGAAAAAAATGTGGAAAAATATGGTAAAAAAACATAAGATTGTCTTGAAGACAATGTTATGTTTTACATTTACACCTTTAAAAAATGCATTTTTTAATGTTTTTAACACATTAATTTTCATATTCTTAGGTAATGTGTTGCTAACGAAAAAAAAAGTTGTGATGATTACAGATGAAAATTGCGTCCACATGAATGCAATTTCCAGCAGAAATAACTTGAAAAAATTCTGAAGTCTACTTCAAAACACGAAACTTCCAAATTTACAAAAAAATCTGTTTATTCTTTCCCTATGTAAAAAATTCACGAAAAACAACAAAATCTCGGCCTCCTAACTGGTCTCCCCCCTTAAAACCAACTACTTCCAACCTATTTCCTATTTGCAATAAATCGCCTGTTATATGGTGGCATGATTTTTAATTATATTTGTTAGCTACTAATATTATTAAAAACAATGTATTGATTACAGGATAATCATCACAATTTTACAATAAAATTTTTATAACTTCCAACTTATGATACATTACCTAACATTCCTGGAGAAGTTTCTACATCTGACCATAATGTAATTTGTTTATATGGCATTTTATAAAATTTTACACCCTTTGATGGCAGAAATGGGAGCAGATTATTCAAATCTTCTTTACGGCTAAACATAACATACTTTAAATTGCATTTAGCCTCCAATCCATCTACAATCAACCGCCACCCTTCCACTAATACCTGTCCTGATGAGTTTCTTGCTTTTTTTGATTTCAAATTTACTAAAAGATTACTGTAAATAAAATAAATATACACATACATAAGTTAGAAAGAGTATAGTTTTATTTCCTGAAATAAAAATAACAACTAAATTGGGTCACTAATTTACTTTTGTTATATCTGTACATCTATACATATAAATAAAATTGGAGTGTCTGTTTGTAATATTGAAATAACTGTACTACATGCATATATGAATATAAATACGATATATACACCAAAATAACATTTTACATTTTTTGTCTGTCCATCTGTCTGTCTGTTTGTTCTGGCTAATCTCTGAAATGGTTGGACCGATTTTTACAGGACTTTTTTAGGCAGGTAGCTTATGTAATAAAGAGTAACTTGGCTCCTTTTATTTTAGAAAAATGATTTTATTTTAGGAGAATAAAATAAAACTCCATGCGGACGAAGTCATGGGAACAGCTAGTATATGAATATGGAGAGAGTGTGGTTCATAATATGGCAGAAAGGAAAACTTCAAGCAGTTTGTGGGACTTGTAACCCGTATGTAGGTTTAAGGGGCCACTTGCCAACATATGTTGACACTAACATTCTCCGCTCATGTTTATCCCTAAATATCATATGGACAGAAAAGAGATAGATGGACTAGGTGATTTATGAAATTACTTCATCAGAGATGAATATAAGAGAAAAACATACTATGACAACCTCAAATGATATGGGATATGGAAAATGAGATGATAATAGGTCATTCACTTACTCCTATAGCTGAAAATGAACTTTCAGATCAAAAATATTACTACAAAACAAAGAGGTCCCATAACAAAATAATTCATTACTATAGCACTTTGTTAGACTGGCACAATATTTATTTAATTTTAATGAAGCAGTTGCTGCAATATTTAAATTAGTTTTGTGCATAATAAATAATCATGACTGGTACAATACAACTTAGTTTGGCAAACTAGTTTGTTCGCTTTCAACTTGAATCAGAAATAGGCAGTAGGCTGGTCAACCTAGGCCAGGCTTTTTGCAAAGTAGTTTATTTAGTTTTTCTTTCAAAGCCCTCTTCCACTAGTTAAACTAGACAAGGCTAGTGTCATAGACATTCCTGGAGTATGAATGGATCATAAAAATCACTTCCTTTAATATTCTGATGACTTTTAGTTCAGAATTTTTTTCTGTGGTACAGTATTTTACTAATTCAATGAAAAAACTATATGTTATAGTTATATAAATATTCACCTTATCCTACCATCATTCTCTTTTACTTTCTCAAAAATAATTTCATTATTATCATCAAATACTTTACATTGACTTAGATGAAAAGCCCTCTTTTTTAATTTATCTTCACGATTTTTTTTTATTTTATCCGATTTTTCGATATTATTAATCTTCGATGACACTTCAAGAGTTTTTTTGTTTATTTTAGTGGAGTCCACTTCTCTTTCTTTAGGTTTATTTAAAATTTCAGGATCTATATCAATGACCTTCTCTTTTTTCAAATTAACCTTTGATTTGGATTCAAACGGTAACATAATTTTACCAGGATCCCTATGCATCCATCTTCCATATAACCTCGAAGAACTATCTATGGAAGTTAATTGCTTACAATGTAATATTTGTGATAACGCGCGCCCAATAATTTTTGACATCGTGTATTAACAAGTAATCGTATTTGTACAAAATCTAATAATTCAGTAATAATTAAAAAAATATATAAAAACCGATAAAACAATAAGCACGTCCACACAGAGAATGTCAACAAAATAACAGATAAAAAATAGCAGATAAGTAAAAAAATCATATGTTGCTCTTAGGTTGTCAAAGACAGTTTAACAATTTATGGAAGTAGTAAAGATCATTTCAGCTAGTCTAGTTTACCAAACGAAATTGCGTCCAATCGTTAGCAGTGTAGACAGAGAAAGTGTAATAAATAATATAAACGTAGTGTATTAATAGTCTATGGTTCAAGCAAGTAATCACTATATAGTGATTACTTGCTCAGTATATTAACAGTACCAACCAATTAACAAAAATAAGTTCGATAGCTAGGGATGTTAGAGAATAAAATATATAGAGTTCGATGTATTCGATATATAGATATATAATTTTAATCTATATATAATTATAAATCTATTTCCGAAAAGGTAGTTTCTGATTTGATGATTTCATGTAATTTTGCAAATAACGTTTTCTTTCTCTATTGGGTATCAAGTTCTATCTGGTTTCGTATAATTTTAGTTTTTACAATCCATGGTTGGGCATAATAAATAAAAATCTAAAAGTGATTTCGACTTGTATTTATTATGCCGATGTTATATAATTTAAGATTGATGTACTCATTTTGTCGAAGATTTTATATCGATGTAAAAACACTCATGGTTGTGGACTAAACTCGACATTTTATAAATCGATGTTTATCGACATAACCATGCAAGCCAGGCCAGGCAACCATCATTGAATTAACCAACCACGAATCTTATCACTCCGTCAGCTGGAAATTTTGTGAATGCGTAATAAAATAGTGTTTATTTATAAATCTACACATAGTTATCAAAATGGCAACAGGAGTAAAACCTCGTGATGAAGAATCACAACTTACTAGATCGGATCTTGAGGCAATACAGGACGCAATGAAGAATAAGAAATTTCGAGAACTGCTAACCGAATACTGCGAGGAAGTACGTGACCCGGCGAACCGAGCGTTGTATCAGAAAGAAATGACCCAACTTGAAAAGGAACGTGGCTACGATGTCACTTTCATCAATCCAAAAGGAGGTTATGTTATCAAAACTAGCGTCGCTGGCGACAGGAAAGCATTTATCAATATCTGCAGCAACGAAAATGTCGATAAGCCGTCATGTAGTGTTCAAGAAATAAATGGAAAAAAAGGTATGAACTGGTTATTGCCGTACTCATTAATACCTCCGAGAGAAGATTACAATAGTAAAAAAGAGCGTTGTGTTATTTATGATGTGGTCTTCCATCCCGATACCTTGCGCATGGCGGAGGTTAACAAACGGTTTCGTGAATTAGTAAACAAGACCGCATTCGACGGTTTACAAAATACATACAATATTCATTTGGACAGTAATAATTTACGTTTTCCCAAGTCTCATTACAAAGGAATGATGACACCTGCTGTAATTAGGAAAGAGGACCCCAATTATGAACCACCAGTTGATCACGAATCTGATAATTTATCACCGGAAGTTTTAGAAAAACTTTACCCCCAGCATATCTATAATGAAAAAAATGATAAACCTGTAGAATCGTCATCACAACAACAGAAAAGACAAGGTAGGAAAGGTAAGGAAGAATTTACACACTCTACTGAAAATGGATACTCCATCCCAAAATATGTTATAAAGCAACAAAAGAATGTTGACCTTCAAGAGTTTACTTATCACAAAGACAGTAAAAAATATTTTGCAATTCCCAGTCACATAGTTATTGAAGTGAATCTACCTATGCTCTCATCAACTAGAGATTGTACTTTGGATGTAAAGGAGAAATCTTTGAGTCTAATATCAGAAAAACCAGCTAAGTATAAACTAAATCTCACTCTACCATACCTTGTGAATGATGAGTGTGGTAATGCTAAGTTTGATAAATCAAAGCGCATGCTTATAGTGACATTACCAGTTATAAAAAAGAATGACAATAATTATATAAATTCATTAAAAGTAGACAGTGGAGTTGAAAGTGAAGAAAACTCCTGTTCACAAAGTGATGAGGATTGCATTGAGGGCTTGGTTGCTGAGTTACCATCACCTGTTGCATCTCCTTTAGTGAAGAATTGTGATCACCCTAATGCAAGACCTATGGAGGATCCATTCTTAGTGTCTTCTCTTAAATATACATTACCATCCTACACACACAATGTTATGGATGACATTGTAGCATTTACTTTCCATGTAAAAAACACTGACCCTGATTCAGTAAAAGTAAAAAATGATGCCAACAAAATTTTCATAACATTTACATCAATAGGGTCAGGTTTTGTTCCAATACATTATGCAGCAATTATTATATTTGATGACCAAATTAAGTTTGAAAATGTGAATGGAGAAGCATGGGATAATAATGTTATCTTACAGTTGGAAGTTGCAGGTGATTTACCTCAGAAGTTTAAAATTGGTTTAAGTGAAGAATCATTTACCAGTGAATATTTTGATATGTCTCAGGTGAGTAGGACTTCTAAACCTACATTTATTAGTGAAACAAAACAGCATCAGGTAGAAGATACAACCCCTGTTGTTGAAGTGACAAATTTAGGTACAGAAACTAATATTGTAGTTTCTTCAAGCAATATTGATTACAATGATGATAATTTAGAAAGTCCAACCATAAAAGATGAAGATATCATGTGGACAGAGACTGAGAATGATAGTGGAGCAAAAAGTATACTCCGAAAACCAATATCTATGATAAGAAGTTACTCTGAGTCAAGTATGGGAGATGTTGCATCATCTATGGATTACATAAGTTCAGACTGCATACCAGAGGAATCTAGTTTAAAAAAGACTGTTAGATTTAATGATGTCATTGCAAGACAATTCTACAGGTGAGGTGTTGTAGTGATCTAGACTTTTATATATTAAACTGTTCATAAATTTACAACACTTACATTATTTGTTTTGAATATTTATCATTAGATTAGACAGATATCAAATATTTAGATTTATAATTAATATATAAATATTAATACATACTATTTTAATTACTTAATTATGTTTATCATATTAGATCAGATGATAAATCTCCTGACTGATCTGATGCAAACAATAAGAAATATTATGTAATTTTGTATGTTGCCTATGTTCCTAGAATATCAACTAAAAAAATGTTTATATTTATAGATAATGAAAAGACATTAGGGTTCTATTCTTAAAAATATATTTTATATTCAACTAGCTACTCGCCCCAGCTTCGCCCGGGTGTACATGTATTATACATATAAACCTTCCTCTTGAATCACTCTATCTATTTAAAAAAGCCACTTCAAAATCCATTGCATAGTTGTAATGATGTGCAATGAATTCCCTAAATTTATCTAAAATTATTATTTTATTTTTCTATTTAATATTTTTTCAGATATAATTCCTCCATAGAAGGCCAAAAAAAGAAAAATCAAAGAAGGAAAAGCAAAAAGCGGAATCAAGATCGTCGTAAGAGTGAAAGTGAGGCTGAGGATGATGTTACCAACACAAATATGGTATAAATTACTTAGAACTGCTACTAAGTAACTGAACATACACACATTTCATGGTAGTCAGAGAAAGCCAAATGTTCATAGATCTCTAATTGATTTTCTCTTGCTTCATTCACTTTTTATTTGTGATGCATAAACTCCTATTTCGATGGACTCATGACTACTCTCTCAGTAGTACTAAGTATCATTTTAAAATATCTTACATGTTCTATACTTTATTGTTTGCAATAATAATTATTCATATTAGAGTTTCAAATATTTATATAATTCTTTTTACTTTGTGAATTGTTGCCATTTGATAGTTTGTATTCAGACAAGTTCTTAAAAATGTAATACTGAACAACAATAATGTAAAAGAGCAACAGGCAAAATATAATTTACGCCATCTTATTGGATTTGCTATCTGAATAATTTATAGAATAAAATAATAACTATTAGAAACCGCCAGTTTTAAATTAATTTGAATATCTCAAAAAATCTAACCAAATATTGTATTTATATTAAAAAATATAATTAAAGTTTTAATTCATAATAAAAAAAATATAAGATAGTTACAGTTCATAAACTTAATCTAATCTGAGTACCTCATATGCTTATGTGTGTTGTTTTTTCAATGTATATTTGTGTAAAAAAAATACAAGAGCAAAATGCAGTATCAGAATCCAGATGTTATAATAAATGTTCCAATATGTAATATATATGTAAAATAACTCTACATTAGGTTTGTAACTGCATGGACGAACTTGAGTTGACATATTGTTAATTTGTTACTAGCCGCATTTAAAAGTGATGAATAGTTTTCATAATAATTCAGTACTAGACCACAATTTCCTGGATGCATAATTCTATTTCTCAATAATTATTATTTTGTTATAGACTTCAAAACCAAGGTTGAAATCTGCTCTCAAACAAAGACATGACAGTGGGCTGGCGGATACTTCAGATGCTGAAGCAGATTATAAATCGACGCCAATGGATTCACCTAGTTCCCCATCGATTTTCAATTTTTCCAATGGTGATAAATATAACTCAAATATGTATGACGATGACTCCAAAAATAATACACCTGACGAGAAAATTAAGTCAGTTTTAAACATAGATTATAAAGCAAAAGCACCTTCAGAACCTACAATATGGGAGTCGTCAAGTGAATCCACAAAAATACCAAAAAGACCAGAAAAATCCCAACTATTTAATAATGTAACCTGTGATAACATCAAGCATAATACCGATCTATATAACCCAGATAATTTGAATAAAGGACAGTACCTAGAGGTGGCATTTAAAAATGATCTTATATTTGATTTGGATATGTGAGGTTTGCCATGTATCTTGTTGTTGAAATCTTTAAAGAAAATATATATTATTGAAATAATTTGACTATATAGAAGTAAAAGTAGAATTCGAAATTTATCATTATTTACAGTTCCTTTGCATTGTGAAGATAATTAAGAATTGTTTGTTGGATGTGTTAGTTTATGGCAATGGTTTATAAATATTAATGTTCGGGCTCGAATATATATTGAATAGGATAGTTAGACTATATTAAAGTCAGGATTGGATTGCCCCAGATCTAGAAAAATAAAAAAAATACCAAATGGAGTGTTTGTTAAATTGAGCATTATATTTGAGGCGACTACAGCCGAGCCTTTGATCCCAGTGTGTTCAACCGTAAATGTCAATTATTATTTTATTCATTAAATACTATTAAGTTGGTAAAATGTTTGCATGAATTTGCCTTTTGGTATTGTTTATTTTATCTATGTTGACATTAAATTAAAAAATAGATTCATATACTTAACTGTAATTGAAATAAAATTAATATTATGCTCATTTTAGACAATATATAGTAGAAAAATGCATTTAATGGTACAAATTAGATACGTAATTTACTGATGTTATGTACGTCAACAATTAGGGATTTAATTCTAAGGAAGAATTTTGAGCCTAAGTTTTAATCGTATTAAGGTATTGCACTACACGATTTAGGATTAAAGTTTACCCATTAAAATATTCAAAAAGTAACTAAGAAGGCTCCTAAATAGGCTCCATTTTCTAATGTAATGTTTTAGTAGGTCACATATATTTGTAACACTTGCAATTTTGTAATCATTTTACACTTACCTACACATTAGTATATTTATATAAAAATAAATATAAGTCCAGTCCATAATTGGTGTAATAAATTTTTGTGCGTTTTACTCATTAAAAATTACATTTATTGTAACAAAACACCAACCAATGAATATTTATGTTACTTACTTAGTTCTGTATCTATTGTCATAAACAATAAATATTCTTTATTGCACTTAAATACATTTATAAGTAAATTAATTACAGCTAATGTTAACAATGCATATTATTTAATACTTTTGGAAATAACTGTGGTGTACGAATAATTTGATTTATGTTTTATGGTACTGAAAGATTGTGATTTTGTGAACGTAGTATAATATACTAGTTTACTGAACAATGGTTTTTTACTACACATTATTAGTAATACAATTCGAATTTAAAAATGTAACCAATCACTTTTACGGGTAATTTTGCTTTCTATCCCTAACAGTTTTCTATAGCTTTAATATATTGAATACCTTGACTATAGAAATTCCTGACATCTTAAATAAAGGTCTCTGAACAATGATGTTATCTAGACAGTGGCCATCTATTGTCATAAATATTATAGAACGTTCAGTCCACAGAGCATCAAGCGATAGCTGTTTTTTGTTTTCTGAGTTCTAAAATATTACCACAATGCGTACTAAAAGGTACTTTGATATAGGTACTAATATCACACGTTATAATAAAATTGTTCCACGAAGGATAAATAATCCTAGTCCTACTATAAAGACTTCCATGTTAATACAAATGTTTGCATCATGCGAGTAATCGAACCGGCAACCATTAGAAGATGTTGAAGGCGGTATATCAGACTACCATGGTTGTCGAACTAAAGAAAACTAGTCAAGTCAAAATAGTACTAATTTCAAGCCTGCATTCATGAAGTTTTCTAGCGTAATTTCCTCCCGCAAAATACAACTGCCAGAGTATTCAGATGTTTTTTGTAGTACCTATGCTGTATGTAATTTAACTGAAAAAAAAAAAACAAACGCACAGGAGCTGTTCTGCATAATTAGTTCACACTAAGTAGGTTAATAGGAATACTGAAAAGGCAAAGCCGCAAGAAATGTTTTTTAAGAAAATTATTTCAACAGTCACAACGGGAGAGGTCACTTGTTCTCGCAACTTACAGAAAAGTAGGTATGTAAATAAGTATTTTCCTTGATCATTACTTTTCTTCGGTCGGAGTTTTAACTTGCAATAGAAAACAACTTTGGTTTTATTTTTATTCTGCGTAATAGCCAAGTAGATATGTATGTATAGATATCTATTAGTGTTCGATTACCCACTCGTGGTCGTTAATTACTTTTTATTGTACCATATACCTATATATTGTCGGTTAAATAGAAAAGCGGCAGTATTCAAAATTTACATTTTTTTTTACATGGCAAGCATGCAAAGTTTTTATTAATTTATTTTTTCTTAAAGTTTTAAATTTACACAGAAGTATTACCTATATTTAATTTTAAAAGTATTTAGGTAATGATTAAGACGGCGTGATTAATTTAATTGACTTATATATATATGAATGAAGTACAATTGCCTCATTTTATATAAGTCAAGCTTCTGAATTTGAAAAATGTCATTTGTCTACTTAATCGACGATATTCACTACGTATAAAACAGTACAATTTAAATTTGTTATCATTAATATTTGTATTATTACAAACAGCAAATACACTTATTTACCTATATCTAATAGTGAAAATATTATGTCGGTCGAATACCTTCCTAATAATGGAAATCAGTTAGATACAGTGCACCAGCAGAAATTCTTTCGAATATGAATAACCAGTATTTGATTTCTGCCCGAATCTACGAGTGTGTAGGTATATATAAAAACAATTTTACAAATAAAATGTTTTTCTATCTAATATACACACAGGAAAATAATTAAATGTAGAGTAATTTATCCCTTCTAACCGATTAAGCTACAGTTATTACGGCGAAGAATGACTTGATACCCAGAAGCCAAAATTACAATTACAAAAAACAAAGTATCTATCGATAATAGATATTACGATAGGTATAAAAGGTACAACATGAAAAAACTAATTTAGAACTTACAAGAAATATACGTTACACTCGCAATATCGATTTGAAACGAATGATTACTATGATTATTCCACTTAAGTAGAAACCTATATATAGGTAATATTTAAATAGTTCGGGGATGCGTTTACCTAAAAGAGGCCTATCCAATAAAACAGAGTCGTCATTGAACTACTTTGTAACAAACTTAACCATCTGGAAGGCATCCATGTGGATACATCATGAATTTCCTTTTCATCAAAAACATATATTATAATTAATCAAATCTTAAAATAGCTCAGTACGTACACACAGTGATCTGAAATAAAAACCTGTTAAGGGCGTGTCCGATTCGCATAGAGGGTTTTTAAAACATATTATTATAGGTAAAATAGTAATTAATACTCTGTTATTATTTTCTCATACTTTTAGATGTTCTTTTATATCATTATATCATATAAGAGAACATTTAAAAGTATAAAAAGCTTAGCCCAGTCAAACCATTTGTTATAAAAACAGATGGCAAATATATTTGTTTGTAGATCATATAATGACGTTTGAAACAAAACGTCATCACACTTCACTAATTTCAAAGGCGTTAGGTACTAATTTTTATTTCTTCAATTCAGCACTGCTACATACATAGGTCAAACGCACACTATATTATTTATTCCGTTTAACTCTTTTAATTCGCAACCCTAACAAGTAAGAAAACATAGATACATACTTATTAACCACGGAGGCCAGTATGACTTTTAATCTTCGGCTCCTTATAATTTAGATTCATTTAAAATATTTAATAACTGTTATAAATATCTAGATGTATTCACAATATTACCAAAATAGGTATATAGCAGGTTTTAAAATGAAATATAGAAAATTCAACTGAAGACTGATTTTAATTTTTATCATTAATCTGCAAATTTATTACAAGTTTATTAAAGTAATAATAAGTGTGATATGGGAATGTTCTAACCATGGGGTATCGGCCATGCGGTATTGCAAGGCTAAGCTTCCAGGGTTCTTTGTGAGATTATAAAAGAGAAGTACCTACGCTTAGTGCGCAGATAAGATAATATTTACGTAGGTACTTAGTGTCACTAACGGAAATTTAGATTCAAAATATTAGGTCTCTGGACAGTAAAAAGTAATGAATAGTCAGTGTAAAGTGTAATATGTAATAAAAACACATAAATATTATTATTTTTGGTGTCACAAATTGGTACCTTTACTTAAGGTAATTTAATTTTCTTTCAATCTAAATAATATGATAAATATTTATTTTTCTTCAATATATTATACCTAGTTACTTGTCAATATAATTGTTATTTTTACCTGTTTAAATAATAATTAAAAGGATAATGTTCACAGTATATTTAATATTACATTAAAGTCTAATTAAATTATTTCTGTTATAACGAAGCTTCTCACGGAGTAACCAATATATGCCAATTTCTACGCGAAATTATCAAGAAAGCAAAAGCGTGTTTAAGGTTTAAGCAAACGGCAATGGTTGATGTTAAACAGATTTACATTAAATACGTGTACATTCAACAATGTTAAAACACTGGTGCTTACGTGAGATAATTAAATCGTTATTTACCTACTTTATGCATTAGCAACATAATTCCGTATTTTCATTAGATTCGCTTGGTTTATTTGTGAAATAACAGAACGCGAAAATAACGTATTATTTATAGCTATAGCAAATTCGAGTATAAGCTTTAGAAAATAAAGAACTTAAAAAATAGCTATGTTTTTTAGTTGCCTGTGCAGTTATTTGAACATGTGCAGGCTAATCAATATCGAAAGCGATATTGTAATTGAACTTATCTGCATATAAAGTAAGAAGACTTTGTGTTTCGGTAGAAATTTAGTCAGGCATGAAATTTAGTCCTATGGTATTTGCTATAGTACATAGGAGACAAACTGTGGGCGTCACATGATGACGTGATATCCGTGGTCTGTCACACATCTAGGCGATGGTAGCTACTTATCATTACGTGAGGCATCAGTTCATATACCTACTATTCCAAATACATTAAACAATAGTTAGTGTGCTTTATGACGTGAAATGTCATAGTATTTCAACAAATAGTGAAGGCATAAGGGCATAATAATAGACAAATCAGTAGGTACCAGTACGAGTACTATGAGAGTAGACATTAAGTATATATACGTAAGCACCTACCTATCGTAATATCTAATCTGTAAAGCTAAAACTTTGTTGATAAAGATTAAATTTAACTTTATGGAGAGCTTCTATTATGGAGAGCTTAATAAAATAAGGACAATCTATGTAAAATCTTATTTATTGTGTTAAGAAATTAATCACATTACTCTTTTATCCGTTTATTCTAAGTAACATTATAAAGAGAGAGAAAGAGAAAGAGATAGGATGTTGTTAAAATAGGTTGTTTAATACATCAAATAATAAATCAATATTCTGATAATCTGGTACCGAGACTATCAATCCGTAGTCCTCTGCCATAGATTAAAAATAAACCGGTGTAAGTAGAAACAAATAATCGTGGCATCGAATAAGCTTATCGATAAAAGAGTTTATTGATTTGGCCGTTTATTAATTTTATTATAAACGTAAATTTATATTGACATAATATGCAATTGTATACGGAATAAACAAAATTGTAAAATAATAACATATTAAACCCATCATAGACATGTATAAAACACATTTGCCTTCCATAACCATTTATCTGTATCTTGGTGGAGAAGCCGTCTAATTCCAGGATGAATGAATTAATGATACGCCAGAGGAGGTCTCCTTTGGCATCTAATCGTTCAATATCGATTTACATCCAATCATTCTTCTTTTGAAACGCTATCAAGACAAAACTGAATAAATCATAACAGTGTCAGTTAGTTCTTTAATTGACCATGACTCTATGAATTGATATCTTGTTAGTTAGTTATATAAATAATTCAAGGGACGAAAAGAATTGGCCATTTTGTAAAACGGCCAATTCTTTTCATGTTATTACATCAGAATTTGTTTAAACTAATTTTCAGGAAAACAGTATCGAGGTCATATAGATACTATTGGATCTATCAGCACGACTCATTACTAACAATCTCTTCCTATGTATATAGGTTTAGTGAGTTACATATTTAT